GCTTTTAGTTCGTGAATGGCAAGATTCTGATAACTTGCCAAAACACTCTTCCATCCACTAGATGACAAGCTGGACAGTTTCGATTTGCACCATTATCCTGCTTCGGAAAAGGTTAGGCTAAACGTTTACGGATAAATTTTCAAATGAAAGCAATTAGGTTTTCTTCCACTTTAGAATCTATTCTCGAAAAATAGAAAGTTGAGCGGGCTCTAATTTCAAAAAAACCTTGCAGATGAGCGGATCATAGTAAATCGAGATTTCGGAGCCTTCTTGAACACCAGAATCACACCGAACACTTGGAAAATGACGCGGCTCCACGTAGCGCGACAGACTGCCTACGGAGGGTAAGCCGAATCCCTTATAGGGGTCCTGGAAGATGATAATTCGGAGCACTACAGAGGGCAGACCTCCGCGTAGACCCGACTCTCGAAGGCCCAGCCGTTGAGCGGCACTTGCTCTTGCGTCAAAGGCAACTTGTGTCCGTAGGCTATGCGCAACATTTGTTGCACAAGATCAACTCCCGTTATGCATTCCGTTATAGGATGCTCTACCTGAAAACGGAGAAAAAGTTTCTGGTCATGACAAAATTGAATCATTCAGTCTAAAGAACAGTGTCTTCTGCGGATAGCGTTTGGAAGATCACTTCAAATCAAATGAAGTTGTTTTGCATGAGTTGATTGTTACCACTAGAGAAAGTAATAGAGACAAGGAAAAACCAAGAACTCTCGGAAATTGAATAGAAGAGTGGCTGAGAAAATCACCTGAAGTCGAGTGTTCATTTCCAAAAAGTAGAAGTTGCCTTGGGGGTCGACAAGAAACTCGACGGTGCCGGCAGAGTCGTAGCCGACGGCGCGGGCTAGTCTCACGGCTGAGAATCGGTTCAACACATAGTTCACTAGTTTTTCAAAGGTTGGAAAACAAACCAACAACATCCCAAAGCTTAAAAACATGAGGAAACTTATTTTTCCGTCTTTGAAACACGTCGGGCCAGCGATCAGAACAAGAAAAAAAGGTGTTATGAAAAAAAGCCACCGATATTTTGAAAAAAAGACTTTTCCTTTTTTTTCGTATCGCCAGGGAGCTTGTGTTTTAAACATGAATAAACCACCTACTTCATAGAGGAACATTCAAAACGAAAATTTTATCGAGAAAAAAAGTCGTAAAAGGATAAGTCAGAAACTTCTCCGTCGAAAAGTTCCCTAGAGATATGAAAAAATCGGAAAAGTCGTTATTCGAATTTTCTTTTTTCATACCAGCAGAAAAACAGAAAAAAACTCCCTGATTCAAGTTCCCGTCAACTAAAGAAATAAAACAAGAAATACCAGCGCCGGTCCACTAAAAAGACAATCGCTATTTTTGTGTCCACTATAAAAACCACTCGTGCCTTATATAAACGGCGATTTTATAACTATTAACATCAGGTTATCTGGGGACAGACC